TCACAAATGATGATTGGGAAGAAGTGGTAAAAAAAATATTGATTATGGATGACTTTGAAAGAGACATTAATTTTGACTGCATTATTGAAAATCAAATAATAATAATAAATCTAAACAACGACAGCTCAACTAGTTGTACTGAAAGTGATTGAATAAATTTATTTTTAATCTATTTTCAATCTTAAATTTTTATAACTGTGCCTCTAGAAATAAGCAGTAACAACAAATACGAAGAAACTAATAAATCTTGGGTTTTAAATTATCCGTCTTTAATTTATTCTGGTATTATTAAAACCAAACTGTGAATGATTACCGTTTGAATAATCGATATCGATTTTTAAGAATCGAGTATTGAAATTGTACGATATTATATATATATATATATATATATATATATATATATATATATATATATATATATATATATATATATATATATCGTACAATTTCAATAAAGACAGCTTTACTTTTTCGGTAGGTATATTATTTAAAATTTACAATAAAGTTCCATTTAATATTCTTGAAATGGAAAATATTCATAAATTTGAAAAAAATATTGCTAATTGAGAAATGCTACTACTAAATTAATGAATATTTAAGCACAAAGATTTAAATAGTTTTAAGCGACGTTTCAGTCATTCAGTAGGCGTCAATAGACAGTTGACATATAATGACATAATTTTTGACATTCAATTAGAATATATATTAGTATAATAAATATGCTATTATAATTATAGTCAACCAATTCTACGAAATACATTTTTACAGCTGTCAGACTTATTGCACCAAGCATGCCAACCAAAAAATGGAAACGTACAATACTCGATTCTTAAAAAAATCGATATCGATTACTCAAACGGTAATCATTCACAGTTTGGTTTTAATAATACCAGAATAAATTAAAGACGGATAATTTAAAACCCAAGATTTATCAGTTTCTTCGTATTTGTTGTTACTGCTTATTTCTAGAGGCACAGTTATAAAAATTTAAGATTGAAACTAGATTAAAAATAAATTTATTCAATCACTTTCAGTACAACTAGTTGAGTTGTCGTTGTTTAGATTTATTATTATTATTTGATTTTCAATAATGCAGTCAAAATTAATGTCTCTTTCAAAGTCATTCATAATCAATATTTTTTTTTACCACTTCTGCCCAATCATCCTTTGTGACATGGGCGCATGCTTCAACGAATATAGAAGAAACGGTTCAAAAAGTTAATACCGAGTCACAAAATAAGAAGACAAACCCAAAACCACAAAATTACGCACAGTAACCTCCCGAAATGGCGGGTGAATGAAATTACGTAGTGGCTTTTTCAGCACGGCCATATATATGAGTTTTTTTTGCGTACACAAATTTAAGTTGACAAAGTAAAAAGATTAAACTTCTGTTATTCATTTTCATGTAATTTAAAGAATTTTAAAAATAAAAATTTAACTAAACAAATATTACATTCAAAGAAAATGATTCGATTATTTGAATATTTTTACCGATTATTTGAATAATTTTGTCGATTATTCACATAACAATGAATTTTAATAGTTTAAACACTACGGTAAGTTACATAGCGACATATCATTGAAACGATGTGAAGTAAAAAAGTTGATACTGGTTATTTTTTTAATATTTTGCTTTATTTGAAAGATTCGAATTTAAATTAATGATAAAAAAACTGTACACGTTGTAATGAAATATAGATAACTTCATAATTCTTCGGATTTACGTAAATAGTTATTTTAAATCGTGTGAGTACACTTGTGCAAAGTTACTGCGGAATGATTAATGTGAAACGTCAAAAGGTCTTAGATTTTCTAGGGTCTTAGATTTGATTGACTATAATGTTTAATTTAATTACACCATCATTGGGCATTCCGATATAATTATAATATAAATAAAATAATGAAATTATTTAATTATAGAAATGTAACTGCAATTGTAACTGTTTATTATGATATTTATATTCCTAAGGGTTGAATACAGCGACCATCATTTCACAAATAAATGAATTTAAATTTTGAAAAAGAGAGCGTGGTTCTTCCCCGAGCCGACCCATTCAAGCTACAACTATAGTATAGCTATGGGGTGGTTTTACCGCGTGCAATTTTTCAACAAAATCAATTATTTATTCTTTGACACTATGTCACAGCACCGTCTTCAGAAGCTTTTTTTATATAGAATAAGGGTGACAAACGAGCACACAGTCCTCCTGATGGTAAGTGGATGCTGCGATCGCTTAAGGCGGTACCCCGACCAAAACCCTGCAAAAGTGCGTTTTTCAGAGACTATTATCTCATTAGTTATGAGAAATAAGCTACATCTAAAAGCACATTATAAATGTTCGATATCCTATCATCACATTCCATGGTCTCATTTGTTTTTATGTGTTATAAATACATTTAAAATTAACTTTTAAAAAAGGACTAAAATTATTGATTACATGCATCTATTGCTAAAGGCAACGTCGTAATCATTTGAGGATTACATTAATGGATAGATAATTTAAAAATCTATATTACTCATGTTTTATTTAATTTCTTAAGTTCACTTCTTTTTTAATTGAAATAATTCCAAAAATTCAGGCGTATTATTACGCGATATATTGTAGCGAGAACGCTTTGATTGTGTAGGACCGAGCGCTCAAGGTCGTTCGCCAGGGGAAATATCTTAAAGAATCAAAACGTAGATGCGTTGTCATTCCTGAGAACTAAGATGTAATGCCTCTTTTCCAGTAAAAAAGGGCCTCCGGATCTCTACACTCACCATACAAAACACAGCAGTATTAAGCTGCTATTTTATGCTGGTATTCTGAGGGCGTGATCCTTCCCGGTCAAGCCGACCCATTCGTGCTACAACCAAAATATAGCTTCAGCGTGGCTCTACCACGTATAAAACTATTTAGCATAAGTAAGCATTAAAAGTTAAATTTAACCTCATTACTCCAATTTATTGCGCATAACGTAAACTATAGGCAGTGAATGCAAATAAAACTAATCTCGAAGTCTCTAGATTGCTACTTATTTCCAAACTCGTGATTAGTAATATTGATTTTAAGTAATGTTTTAATATTTTTTGTAATAACAAAATGTTACGCAATGTAAAGCTTTTTTTATGTAACTTTTTCAGCATCAATAGATGTCACTGTAATATATTATATTATTTAGGGAATGAAATGTTTTTGTATACAAAAATATACTGTAGTTCCGAAATAAACGAATATAGATTTTGATAAGGATTCGAAATATTCTGATTTTTGTATGGGTAATTCACACTTCACAGTATTGATGGTTATAATACAGTTACCTTCACAAGAGCTAAACAGTCATAAAGAATGTTAAATTATTAATAACATTTACGAAACATTACAAATGTGCTTCAGATAAAAATAAGTCTTACTTACTACAACGATTTAACGCCATGAAGATTACAATAAAAAGAAATATGCCTAGCCAAATTGAGTAAAATGGACTATAAGGTATAGACATTATTATAAGATTTCCTTTTGAAATAACACAACACAAACTAAGTTGGCACGACGATGAATAATTATAAGTATAGATCTAACAAATAACTTTTGGATATTGATAAGCACTGCTACATAAATAAATCTTATCTACGGAAATAATTTATAATTGTACGATAAAGTACGATAAAATGATAATTTACATTTCATTGCCAAAAAGTTTCATTTCAACTCAAATATTAAGAATGATTTATATTTCACATGCTGAAACTTTAAAACAGGATCTCTTATTTAAAATTTAAAAAAATATTTTTTATTAATTTGATAAAACTACAGTGCCATCTACTAGAGAGTACTTGAACTTAATAAAACACTGGTTGACCTTTTTTAAAATGGCTGGCCGATTTGGATGTTTTTTTTTTGGGTGTGTTTTAGCGGGTCTCTGGATGATTTAAGCGATACTCAATTAGACCCGGTAGGTTGCGCTATTATATACGAAATCGGCAAAAAAACGTCATAAGCATCTTCACCTTCTCAACAACGTCTTTATTTCAGATCAGTAAAAATATCTATTACCTAATATGACATGGCACAAAGGTTACTATTGCGCAAATTAAAATTAAAACCTATCCCTTCCCTATCTATATGAACGTATGAATATTTTGAATGTTTAACCATTGTGTATATTTAGTGACAAAGGAAACTATTAATTAAAGTAAATAAGCTTATTTAAAACTATTTAAAACGCATTAATATATCTTGGCGATAATAAAGCTTATATTTATATTCTATAATCGGTAAATAAACAAAAATAATGGCAATATAAATTTATACAACTCACCAAAGATTCTCATCAATAACCCGTATAGTAGCCAAAATAATAGTACATTTGCAGTCATATAAATTAAAACAGTCGCTAAATTGGTCACCATTTTGAAATTGATAAAGAACAAAAACAAAATGCGACTAATGTGGCAAAGTTTAAGCGATAAATGAATTACTTATCGCAAAAAACATCGATAATTTATCATGAGATTAATAAAAGACTTGTAGAGGTGAAGTGGCCCGTTGGTATTGAATTTTCTTTCAGGTATAAAAAAGAAATCAAAGAGAAAACGTGAAACCAAAAGATTTGTTTTCGAATAAATATTACAAATGATGATGAAAAACAATTGTATATCTAACTGTAAAGGTTTACATGTGTATTTTGTACGTAACCTGTTAAATACTAAATATGAATATATGAGTTATATAATATAGTATATTTCGTAAACTGCCATCTGTTAGCTAATAGCTAAAAATACAAATCATCAATAGATGGCGCTTCCACATATTTTTAAACCTCTGTATTTATATTTTTAAAACGCTCCTTAATTTCTTGTTGTTTTTATATACCTACTATAGGAAGATTCTATCATGGTTGGACCACACCTGTTATATATTTTAAGGAATATATTGGACTTAAATATTTAAATTAAAGGTGTTATAGAAATAATCGTAAGCGTAATTTATCATGTTTTATGGAATAATACTTACGTTTTTTAACGCACGTTCCAAAACAAAACCACAACCAAAACAAATACAAGCACATAAATATAAACCCCCCAATCATAACCGACGAAACTATATCCATTTTTGGTATAAATAAAAACACCGTACTGCTTAGACACTATAGTAGGAAAGTAACGGATTTATAAAACATATTACATAAGTAGGCGCTATCTAATCTGTATCATTGGTTTATCTATCAGAAATAAAGTAAAAATAATATCAAAATTTTACTTCTCGGTTTCATCAGTCAAAAATAATTAAATAAAATTATTTTTTTATTTATTTTTTTCGAATACATTTAAAATTTAAAACTATGAAGAAACAAGAACGACCGATAAGGCGTCTTGCAATTGTTTGAATGGGGTCATGTTTGTTGATGAGAATCATTTTCCAATGGTTGTTCGTGTCGAAATATAAGGTGCGAGAATTGTAATTTCCGGTTTAAAAAAAACATTAATTTATATAATATTACGCACTTTCATATATTTTTTATAGTATAAGGGTGACAAACGAGCACACAGTTCATCTGATGGTAAGTGGATGCTGTGACCTATAGAAATCTACATCTATACGCGATTAAAAATTAAAATCCAGATGCGTCGTCATCCTGAAGACTAAAATCTAATCGTTTTCAATAAAAAGGGTATCCGGTTCTTTACACTCACCATACGAAACACAGCAGCATTGAGCTACTATTTTAATCTGGTATTCTTTGAGAGCGTGGTCATTTCCGGTCCAAGCCGACACATTCGTGCTATAAATATAATATAGCTGCAGGTTGGCTCTAACACGTAAGATTTTGGCTATGGTAATAAATATAAAATTTCAACATGCGATTTTTTTAAGATAGTTGCACCTGTACGATTTGTGCTTTAAATCGATTACTTGGCTGAATTGGTGCTGGTGCTGAATAGCTAAGGGCATAGGATTAAAATAATAATAAGTATTACATTCAATATTTTATACTCAATTATTTAATTTTGCTTAATTAAGATGCGTATAACATTTATAGCTCTAGATACGTAATTGAAAATGTCGATAATTATCATTTAACTTATTATCATGAATCCAAAATCACTCAAGCAATTAATAATAAATTAACCATATTTCACGGAATTATTTAATATCTTAATGGCTTATAACATTTTTTTAAATATAATAATATACTTAATAATTGTAATTATCTTCGTTGCTGTTTTGGCAAGAAGACCAAACGTACTTTTAAGTGTCTATTTTTGACTGTGTATAGTAAGGATGTAAAAAATGCTTACAGCGAACATTTCCCTTTTATATTCTAATCTATTTATTGTATTTCATACACTTATATCATTCAAATGTTTGGTGCCCTTGATACCGCGCCGATATCTTTCTTTTTCTCCTAACTTGTTTAGTATTTCATTCAGAGAGGAAATATCTTCCAACCACCAAACTATTACGATTGGCCCTAAACAATTCCCACATTTAGCTGTACTTCGCTCATTTTTGTAGGATTCTAATCGAAATTGTATTTGTATTAGATACATTTAGCCCTCGTCACCAGTCTTTTCTGCCTATCTTTATCTCTTATATATAAAAATTAATATTTGTTTGTTCATATTTTATGCGCTGCTATACCGTTCATTAGATTGCAGTAATTTATTTAAGCATATTGCTTGTACTTCCGCGAAGGTTATAGGCATAGTTGGACCCAGGTTGGAGAGATAGAATCCAGATATCATCGGTGCGAAGCCGGGGCAGATCGCTAGTATGTATACAAAAATTTCGTGTCACATTATTTGTCCGCGATGAACTCCGAAAGGACTTAACCGATTTTAATGAAATTTTGTAAATATGTATTGCTTGTTTCTTCTTGAGAGATAGGATAGTTTTTGTCTCGATACGTGACCTTTAATATTTGTAATTGCGTATTTAAAAAAAATAAAGGAAAAAAAGTATGTATTTTTTATATAGGATTGGGTGACAAAAGAGCACACAGTCCACCTGATGGTAAGTGGTTACTGTGGCCCTTAGACATCCACATCTATCCTCGATAACGATTCAAAATGCAGATGCGTTGTCATCCGTGAGGACTTAGGTGGAATGCCTCGTTTCCAGTAAAAAGGGTCTCCGGTTCTCAACACCCACCCCACGAAACACAGCAGCATTAACATATTATTTGACGCTGGTATTCTGTGAGAGCGTGGTCCTTCCCCGGTCGAGCCGACACATTCGTGCTACAACTATACTACTAATATAATTGCAGCATGGCTCTACCACATAAATGAAATGGAGTGATGCATTTAAAAGTATTGAAGGATCACATAAACATTAAAACTCGTTCAGCCTTATTAGAAAAGTAGTTTACGCTTAGTCTCAGGTTTAACCTAGAATCTACATGAAAGAAGTCCCGCGCAAATATGCAAAGTAAAGTAAACAGTCACAGTAAATGTCAAATTTCGCGGACACTTTGGCGCCAAATCTGTTTAAACCATATTTTAAATCCAAGACTACCAAAAACTAAATTATGTTTGTAATAAGACTGATTACTATTATATTTAATGGAATTTTATGATTGCATATAAACAAAAAATCTAAATTGACTTACGTATCCATATGAATAAAGTAACAAGAAGAATGATACAGATAAAAACTAACATCATAACAACTGTAGGCAATGATGTTAATTCAATTAGTGCTAACGAACTAGTTGTACTTTAAACATAATAAGTAATCACTACACTTGTAAATATAGCTTTAAACACAATCGAATAACCAATAATGTCCCTACGATTTCGATTGGCTTTCAATTCATTATTATAATAGAACAAAGTAGATATATAGATAATAATGATTATTCTCGATAATCCAGTTTATCTACAGTCATTATATTCACGTATACTGATAAAATTTTCCGATTATTAATGTAAAAACATATCTTGGTCTTGGTAAAGCTATATATATTTTAAATTACAAATCACATATAATAAATACTTTTCTAGCATTGACCCCTTTCTATTGTCCAAGACCAAATTCAAAAAAGCTGTCTCAAAGGTTTTGGCAGATGGCATTGTTTATTTAGGTTTAGGTTGAAGTTGCGACACACACGTTTTATTATTATATCACAAACTAACACACATTTTCACCTCTCAATGCACGCACGCGCACGCACGCACACACACACGCACACGCGAACGCGCACGCGCACGCGCACGCGCACGCACACGCACACGCACACGCACACGCACACGCACACGCTCACACACGCAGCACACGCGTGTGCGCTCTTCCTCTCGTTCTCATCACGGCGCCTCTACACGTTGGCCAACACAGTGGCGAATGTAGTGGCCAATAGCATTGGCCAACGTGTAGACGGGGTGTTTGGGCTTCATTGGTATGTATTGGAACGATGGCCCGCAAGTTGGCGCGAGATCCGTGTGGTGTCGGTTTTTTACAAAAGATCAAAGGATTGTTGGCAGAGTTTGGTGGCCGCGTCCACACGTTGGCCGCGCGTTTAGTTTGCTACAAGTTCCCCGAGTGATTACACGCATCTGATTAAAATTTTATATTCAAGCTTTGTAGGGTGGATGCCCCAATTACCAGCCTTTTAGTGCCAATTTCAACTTTAAACATTCCTACTACTTTAATTAGCGCGATTTAATTATTATTAAACATTTGTTTTAATCAATAAGCTATTTATCAACAAAAAAAATTAACGTTTTTTTACAATCAGATTATTACGAGAACAATTTTAAAATGAAAAAAAAAATGAAGCACGTCGTTTATACGTGGTAGAACCATGCAATTATATTAGAAGTATAGTTGCAGCACGAAGGTCGGCTCGACCGGGGAAGGACCACGCTCTCACAGAATATCAGCGTAAAATAGTAGCTTAATGATGCTGTGTTTCGTATAGTGAGTGTAGAGAACCCGAGACCCTTTTTAAAGTAAACGAGGCATTTCATCTTAGTCCTCACGGGTGACAACGCATCTGCATTTTGATTCGTAATCGAGGATAGATGTAGATCTCTATGGGCCACAGCAACCACTTAACATCAGGTGAACTGTGTGCTCGTTTGTCACCCTATCCTATAAAAAAACGTCGATTTATTATAATTTAATCGTGCAAGATTTCGAATCATCATCATCATTACAGCTCTTCACAAATCCACTACTGAACATCCTCCTCCACAGACTGCCGCAAAGCATGGTCCTGAGCCACTTTGCTCGTCATGAGTTTTTCATTTATGTTCTAAGTTATAATTAGTACCTATTATTAAGTCAGTGTTAATTATATTTATTGCTATTGTTTTTGTCTTTCTCAAAAAATAATTAAATTACCAAATAAATTATAAGGTGTTTTTATACACATCAAATGTCTGATAGAAAAGCAAGTACATGTTTTGCTAAACTTTAAAATCAAAACCCAATTTTAAAACACAGACTAATCGATTATAACTCCTTTAACTTTAAAATAAGTTAAGTTCTTATCAATGCTATTTATTCCAGTTTATGATGCATGTAAAGAATAAATAAAGCTAATCGTATATCATATATCTTTTTACGGCCCCATTAATATCCACTATTCTTTTATAATTATTTTATAAAAACGTTACCCCATACACTAGGATTTGTCCTGTATCGCGGAGGCAGCTTACAAACATAAATTGCACAAGGATACACATCCAGACCCGAAACAATTATTTGTAGGACATACAAATACTTGTTCCGTGCGAGATTCAAACCCGCGGCCCACGGCACAGCCACTTATTGCTAAGCCACTGCGCCACGGAGCCGTCGTCTATAAAATAAATTCGTCCACACATTGGCCCGAACCGAAGTAAACTGAACGACCTTCCAACGTGTGGACGCCGTCACCAACTCTCGGCCAATATATTCGCCACTACATTCGCCACTGTGTTGGCCAACGTGTACAGGCGACATAACGTGTAGACGGGGTGTTTGGGCTTCATTGGTATGTATTGGAGCGATGGCCCGCAAGTTGGCGCGAGATCCGTGTGGTGTCAGTTTTTTACAAAAGATCAAAGGATTGTTGGCAGAGTTTGGTCGCCGCGTCCACACGTTGGCCGCGAATTTAGTTTGCTACAAGTTCCCCGAGTGATTACACGCATCTGATTAAAATTTTATATTCACGCTTTGTAGGGTGGATGACCCAATTACCAGCCTTTTAGTGCCAATTTCAACTTTAAACATTCCTACTACTTTAATTAGCGCGATTTAATTATTTTTAAGCATTTATTTTAATCAATAAGCTATTTATAAAAAAAAATAATGAACATTTATTCATCAGATTATTACGAGAACAATTTTAAAATGAAAAAAATTAAGCACGTTGTTTATACGTGGTAGAACCATGCAGTTATATTAGAAGTATAGTTGTAGCACGAATGGGTCGGCTCGACCGGGGAAGGACCACTCTCTCACAGACTATCAATGTAAAATAGTAGCTTAATGATGCTGTGTTTCGTATAGTGAGTGTAGAGAACCAGAGACACTTTTTAAAGTTAACGAGGCATTTCATCTTAGTCCTCACGGGTGACAACGCATCTGCATTTTGATTCGTAATCGAGGATAGATGTAGATGTCTATGGGCCACAGCAACCACTTACCATCAGGTGGACTGTGTGCTCGTTTGTCACCCTATCCTATATAAAAAAGCGTCGATTTATTATAATTTTATCCTGCAAGTTTTTGAATCATCATCATCATTACAGCTCTTCACAAGTCCAATACTGAACGTCCTCCTCCACAGACTGCCGCAAAGCATGGTCCTGAGCCACTTTGCTCGTCGTGAGTTTTTCATTTATGTTCTAAGTTATAATTAGTTCCTATTATTAAGTCAGTGTTAATTATATTTATTGCTATTGTTTTTGTCTTTCTCAAAAAATAATTAAATTACCAAATAAATTTTAAGGTGTTTTTTATACATATCAAATGTGTGATAGAAGTGCAAGTACATATTTTGCTAAACTTTAAAATCAAAACCCAATTTTAAAACATAGACTAATCGATTATAACTCCTTTAACTTTAAAATAAGTTAAGTTCTTATCAATGCTATTTATTCCAGTTTATGATGCATGTAAAGAATAAATAAAGCTAATCGTATATCATATATCTATTTACAACCCCATTAATATCCACTATTATTTTATAATTCTTTTATAAAAACGTTAACCCCACACTACAATTTTCTCCCGTATCGCGCAGGCAGTTTACAAACATAAATTGCACAAGGACACACATCCAGACCCGAAACGATTATTTGTAGGACATACAAATACTTGTTTCGTGCGGGATCAAACCCGCGGCGCCCGGCGCAGCCACTTATTGCTGAGCTACTGCGCCACGGTGCTTATAAATTCGTTTTCGTCCGCACATTGGCCCGAACCGAAGTAAACTGAACGATCTTCCAACCAGAGTTTCCACTTACAATTTTGGTTTGTCCCTATTTTTTTTAGGATTTATCCCTAAAATTCCCTAAACGATCTTAAAAATTCCTATTTTTAAGGAGCATATTTTTATTCGAGAAATTATACAATAATTTATTATTTTGAATATTTATTAATAAATCAACAAAAGATCAATCACCAAAAACCAGATCAGACAGAAGATTTAGAAGCTGAATCATTACTTTTGTAATATTTTGCTGCACTTATCATGGCACTGTTGGGTTCTAAAATTGAGCAATTGTTTGCTTGCATTCCGAACTTTGTGTGAAACAAGCCGTTCAGAGTTTCGTTAGAAAGTCTATTTCTTTTATCTGTTTTTACATTTTTTAGAATACTAAATAATCTTTCTACCTCAGTATTTGAAGATGGAACTGCTAGTAAAACTGAAATAACTACTTCAAGATTTTCGTAAATGAAATTACCATGATAATCTTTCATGCTTAGAACCTTATTCCAATAAATGTCAGCTGGCATGTTTTTTAATTCTTCTTCGCTTTCAACTCCAAAATGCTTTAAGTCTATAAGAGCTTGATTTCTCAATTCGTTATCTGCTTTTTGCATGTTGCATTTTGTCGTTAAAAAGTTAAATTTATCAAAAACATCTTTCACTGATTGTTTCTCCAGATTTCTTGCTATTTTTGGATCCACATACTTCAATATGTCGAAAAGTTTCTCATTCAAGTCGAACCGCTTTTGGATTTGCAATACTATTTCCACATAAAATTCACGACAACTAGCATAAAATTTGTTCACTTCTTCTATTGGGGCTTTTGTCTTTAAATCTTCAAGTATCGCATGTGCTTCCATACCAACGTATATATGATCATTATTGAGGTGAATTTCTGTTTTAGTGACGTCAATTTGCTTAAGGCTCTTTAGATCCGAGCTCAGATTCAGGTGCTCCTTTTTGACAAAGTTGCACAAAAAAGTGTTCAACATTTTCCGAACCATCACTGGCAGTATAAATAATTGTGGTGATTTTGTTTGAAAAAATGTATTAAAATCGTTAGTTATAGAGAAGACGTAACTCATGAAGTGTAATAAAGCTTTATTAAATGGGTTGTTAAGACTGTTCAAGATGGAATCATTTGTATTAGAGGGATCCTCAAAAACTGCCCCCGTAAAAAATAATTTCAATGCATCATACTGCTCTAATATCCTGTCGACACAAGCTTGAAGTGACAACCATCTTGTATTTGCTGCAGAAAGTAATTTATGTTGGTCAATTTTTAGAAAATCCTGAAACTGTTTGAGTGCTTCTGTTCGCTTAGGGCTCATATGAAAATATGCAGGTATATTACGGCACAAATCTTCTAAATTTTTAGGTAGTTTACGGGAGGCATATGATGTGGCGAGATGTATTAAATGGCATGAGCACTCTATAACGACCAGATGTGGAATTTCGGTTTTTAGTAAAGCCTGAACTGAATTGTGCTTTCCCATCATTACGTTCGTCGTATCTGATGTAAGTCCGAAGACATGATCAAGAGGTACTTCATGTTTTGAAAAACTTCCTTTTATTGTTTGGAGGATACCTTTTGCCGTTCCATCAATCATATCTATCAAATCAAAAAATCTGTATTCTACTTTTTTTGTCAAACTATTAAAAAATGTTATAATAATAGCCAACTGTTTTTTCACAGACAGATCTGTTGTTTCATCTATTATTATATTAAAATAGCTATTCTTCATGATATCAATCACTTCTTGTTTATATGTCGCTCCTGTGACTTGACGTAAAATATTTGTTGCTTTTTGTTTTCCTAGATGCACGTCATCTAAACATTTCGATTCCGGAAACAAGTTTCGCAACAGCGATACAAAATCATCGACTAAAGAAATTGGTAGATCATGTTTCGCAAGAAAGCCGCACATTTTTAATTCCATTTTTAATACATTAGTAGCGTGCGTCTGATTTTTGTTCAAAAAAAGTTGACATTCTTCCACATTGCGAAATAACAGCCATCTTTTTGGTGTGTTTAGCACTGTTTTTATGTTTAAGTAATTCGGACATTCCACATACAAGATCACAATCGCATATTTTACAGTAAGCTTTTGTCTCACCTTTATCAGATTTCTTCAGCCAAGTCTTAAAATCAGGATGCTCCAGCCAAGAAGTTTTAAATTTTTGCACGTATTTTCTTTCCTTACTTGCTGACTTTAAAGTCGAAGAGGATGGTGTTTCATTATCTTCTTCCATTTTAAATTACTTACAATTTAATCGAAAAGAAAAATTTTTTTTTTATATTCCAAGGTGCAATTCGGAGTTCAGTATGTAAATGAAACAAAACTAATCAAATCAAGCAAGCCTTGGTAGGTATACATAATATGACTAAGTTCCGACTACATCTAAAACAACGGAACTGATATTATAAATGACAAATTAAAATTGGACGGATTACATTCATTAATAGTACGGGGGGATTCCCCTTTCAAAAATAAACCGCGGGCGGTGGCACCATAGAGTTTGTACATACTACAACAGGGTTACCATCATAAGTTTTGATTTTCCCCGAATTTCCCTAAATCCCTGTCTTATTAAAATAATCCCTAGTCATGTACAATTTCACTTAGTTTTCCCTAAAAAAGGGAAAAATCCCTAAAAGTGGAAACACTGCTTCCAACGTGTGGACGCCGTCACCAACTCTCGGCCAATATATTCGCCACTCCATTCGCCACTGTGTTGGCCAACGTGTAGAGACGACATCACATAATACTCAACATACGGTATACAGTACCTAATATAAATGTTCCGTACTTTACAATATTAAAGTAGGTAAAAGTATATTACGCTATACACTGTAAAAATTATGTGTTGTTTATATATATCGGTTAATGTAAAAGCTGTAGATTTTGTTTCAATAAAAAAATTACTCTACGGTCATATTTGAAAACCAATTTACTAACCACGCGCTTACAGTATTTATTTGATTGGTATAACTTTCTTGATTAGAACTTAATTTGCAATAAATATTCGTATAGGATATCCAATGTATATTCTCTGTTACGTTGAAATTACGTTGGCTATTTATGCGCGAAAATACTTGGATATAATACATACCTTGTACATATTAAAATACATTGCGGTTGTAACCATAATATGTCGCCGAGGTCGTAATCGTCTTAGTAAATTATTTTTACATGTATCTATACCTAGATATTAAAATTTTTTGTATATACTTCAAATATAAAAAAATACTGATATATAGATATAATAAATGATTACTTTAGTAATTTTTTAGTCCCAAATGGTAAACACGTTCACGTAAACACGTTGTTCATTCTTGCCTATAAAAGTGCCAATGGTCAATGGACATCAAAGTCTACGTCGAATCGTTTCCTGGCAATGTGATGCAAGTTTGAAATGTAATTTTTAGAATATGAATTAAAATATTCGAGACTATACAACTTATGTTCAATAATTTTTACTTTCATTGTGTTGTAGTAGATTTATCAGGTATAGCTCGACGATACTCTGATTATCCTGATAGTTTTCTATGATATATTATTATTTCCTCATTTGGTTCCTATATATCCTTATTATCAATTATTATTATTATTTTGAGAATCAATAATCAACGTATAATTTTGTTTTCTTTAAATACATCCTCTTCAATTGAATGATTACAAAATTTACCGCCTGCTGAACACTCTTATACTGAATTACCCATTTTTAGAAACTTCTATATGGCAGATAAATATGCTATGGATTTAATCCCCATTTATAAAGGAATATACTTTTTTTTAGAAATGCTAACTTGATCTAATTTAAATCTTTAAAATGGTGCATCAATAGAACAAATGATTTTTTCCATGATCATACTTTGATTATTTTAATTAAAATTACTATTTTAATAGGTTATTTAATATTTATTTTATCTTTTAATAAACTACCAGACGTAGTACCCGTACGTAGCTTTCTAGGACCTCAAAACTTGAAGATCTTATGAAAACTCGCATTCTCAAAATCGCACCGAAATCTATAAATTCCCACTTTTGAAAGTTATTAATTTTCAAAGCGGGAAGTTAAAAAAAACTGCTGTTACTATCCATACTTGGCATATTTGCCATATTTGGCCATATTTAACACAGCTTCTTACGATAGCCACGGGATGAAATTGGGTGATGAATTCTCTTAGGTTGCCGCTACAAAAAAAATTGTGATTTTAACATGACAACGTCTAATAAATCGATGAACGCTGCACATATTTTCTGCACGGCTGCACGCACGAAAAAGGACGACTCATTGTAACGTTACGATCGGAGGGAGAGCGCTGCACGAGCGAGCGAAAGGCACGATCGGCTTGAGCGTAAAAATAAATTTATCAATTTAAATTGTAGATTTTATTTCACTCCTCCTTTGTATCAAAATAGTGATAATTCAATAAAAATGATTCACTTTTATTCATAAAAGTATGCAATCATTTCATCAATGTTTTGTTATGACGTTGTCACGTTGAACTATCATCCGTAAACCGACTTTACAGACAAACAATTTTTTTTAAATTTTATAAAAATATCGCTTTTGAAAAATTTGTTACTAAGATGACGTAAGAGAACCACCACTCCATATCATCCCGTGGGTAAGATACAGCAAGGAAACTATAACAGATGGGCAGAAACACCTCGGTTTCCAACCAGCTTGCCAATCGTGGCGGCTTTGGCAGATACCTCCCCAATGAGGAGGCAACCTATGTTGAAGGCCTATGTTCATCACTGGACTTTTATTAAATAAAAAGAAAGAATGCATAAATTTAATGTTAAAAAGATTCATTTGTCTTGTGCTCGTGTGTCGGAATTGAATTTTTAAGTGACTGTGGAAAATCACCGGTTAATAAATTTCGGCACACATTATAATAATTAAGAAAATTTAGGTAAATTGCAGGTTAATTATTATAAGTAACACTTCTTTTTTATATAGGATAGGGTGACGAACCAGCACACAGTCCACCTGATGGTAAGTGGTTACTGTGATCCATAGACATCTACATCTATCCTCGATTACGAATCAAAATGCAGATGCGTTGTCACCCGTGAGGAATAAGTTGTAATGCCTCGTTTCCAGTAAATAGGTTCTCCGGATCACTCAACATACGAAACGCAGCAGCATTAAGCTGCAATTTTACTAGCTGCACATTTTGGGGTTCAATTTTTAACAATCAGTTAGGATGTTTAGAGGTCTTTTTTTATAGAATAAGGGTGACAAACGAGCACACGGTCCACCTGATGATAAGTGGATGCTGTGGCCCATATACATCTACATTTATCCTCCAGTAAGAAAGGCTCTCCGGATACACTCACCATACGAAACCCAGCAGCATTAAGCTGCTGTTTTACGCTAGTATTCTGTGAGAGCGTGGTACCTCCCCGTGCTGCAACCATAATATAGCTGCAGCATGACTCTACCACGTTAAAGTTACGAGTACGTATCCCCTTACTATTTAGGCGTACTGTAAACTCGTTTGCCACTATAACATTAAAGAAACTTAAAACATGTTGTATTAAATATAAAACTACGGATATCAAGTGTCTGTACTTTCAACATTACAAACAGGAGAGGACGCAATTATTCATTTGACATGTGACCCGACTCTCAACTGTGTGCATGTGATCGTATAATTTAATATAATCCGTGCTCTTTCCGTTGTAACGTCTCCGGTTCTTTTAGAATCTACTCTACGAAGAGCCGTGGTAGCTCAGATGGTTAGCGCTCGCTGTAAATTTCACAGTACGCGAGCAAACCGGGTTCGATCCCCGCCGGCACCAGTGCAAGTGTTAATAAAAATATTTCGAAGACATGTGAAGTTCGCCAACACGCATTGGGGCAGCGCGGTGGACACTTCCTTGCCCTAAAACCCTCTCAGAAATGAGAGGAGGCCTGTGCTCAGCAGTGAGACGTATATAGACTGTAACTTTACTTTACTTTACTAAGAAGTTTAATTACGACTTTCGTCATAGTCTAATGTAAACAATTGAAAAATTCCGCTCACTGGAGTTGATGATTGAATTTTCATGTAATAAAAAAAAACATGTGTGCTGTTCACACGCGGTAGAAGCTAAACGATCAGAAAAGGACACCGAGATAATAGGAAAAACTGTATTCTATCTCATTCTCTCACAGACTAAATAATAAAGATGTATAAGTTTGTCGCTTTTTCGTACCTATCATCGAATTTCAAATCACCACTCTAAAGAAATTTTCACTTCAAATAAGTTACACCTACACTAAGATTTTCACCTGTATTATGGAGGTAGTTTAAATAGATGAATTGCTTGCACAAGGACATACATTCAGATTCGGAACAATTATTAGTGAGCCATACAAATAATTGGTTCCGTTCGCGATACGAACCCGAGACCCCATAGCGCCGCGACCAAACCCAAACGGGGTCACGTCCTTATGACCTGTCATTATACGCAGATATTTTTTTTATAAATTGTGTATAATAATTTCGGAACGTAATTTTTCCTTAACAACTGGTTAGGAAAAACATGCCTACAAGATAACCAACGGGACTTTTTTTAAGTACTTTGAAGAATTAATTTTTATTAACTTTAGAAACAACTCTCACCACATTCCAAAGAGTAATTATCGATGAAGTTATTATTGAGAATTTTCTAGAAATATCTTGATGCTCCTTCTTCTCTATACTAGATTTTCGGATTTTGGGATTTGAATCCGGGACCTCATGATCAGCAATTTACGACCACTAGACCAACGAGGCAGTCAAAAAACCAAAAAATTAACAAAAATACATTATGTATTTATAAACTCATTATAAACTTTCCGTCGTGTCGATTTGTAGTTAAACACCACCACTACACGTTTATTTTATTTTTATCTTTACGTTACACACGTATGTGTAATAATAATAATAAGTAATGTATGGCATTGCAAATAGCAAGCCCTCAAAAATAAAACGATGTAACTATACCTTCCTAATAGATCAAGCTAAATCATCAGGTGAGTGACAAAATCCTAATCACAATGCAGCTTTATTATGTTTGTAGCACGAGTAGGTCGGCTCGACCGAGGAAGGACCACGCTCTTACAAAATGCCATCCATATTTCGTATGGTCATTCCATCTTAGTCTTGAGAGGTGACATCGCATCTGAATTTTTATTCATAATCGAGGATAAATGTAGATGTCTATGGGTCACAGCGTCCACTTACCAATATATTAACTGTAGGTATGCTT